CTCATCAACGTTGAGTCGAACGGCAAAGAGAGAAGATGGGGCGCTATGACTCAGGTATGTTTCCATCTTGTCCAAACCGGGCTGAATGTGTGATTGGTTGGCAATAGATATTCTGATATCGGTCCAAAGCTTTTGCGTGCCAACAGCCAACTCTCTCCAGCGAGAGCATACTCGAGTCGCGATGAGTCGAAAGGCCGGCTTATCCTTTTGGCATAACAAGAAGATGTGAGAAAGTAGTTCTGGAGGAAGCTTAGAAACGAGTGCGGCATCATTGCATATCTTGGCTCTCTTCCTTCCCGCAGCAGCAATATCTGCGTCAATCTGCTCGAGCTGGTGAAGGAGATTCGCTTTTTGGGTGTGAAGGGAGTTCAAGAGCGTATCGAGAGCATGTACGGATTCCAGTGAGTGCATGACTTTTTTCAACTGTCGTGGAGAAATTAGTGAGTACTAGTAGTAGTAAGTCAGTCAAGAGGACATACGTCAAGTTTTAACAAGCTCAATGTCGTGCCCTTGTGTTGTTCGAATGATGCCGAAGAGTCTCAAAGTTTACCATAGGTATGTGATTACATAAGCCTTTCTACTGTAGTACCAGTAGCTTATGTACCAGTACAATACGTGGGCAAGCAACCACTGCCAGATATTTGAATCATACCTAGTAACCTTATTATATAGTATGCATACTATGCATGATGGCACAAGCCAAATTGACTCGGCGGACAGAGGTCGATAAGCCAAGATATCAGGAACGAGTAGTCAGCGGCGTTGGCAACTTTTGGAATGAGTACTTGAGTAGGCTTGGAGTGACTCTGGTAGGAAGACGTGGAACTTGTACATGTGCTTGACGACATGACTCGTTTCGCCGGGTTGAGTTAGAATGATTTCACCTTTCCCAAAAGTTATCATATTGTGCTGGATCCATATCTGGCCCAGGAGGCCATGGATCTTGATGGACAGAAGTCCAGCCGATTTTGGTGAGAGTTTCGAGCGCAGGTATAATATCGACTGCCCGACGGCGACTTGAGTTGTCAAAATGCACAGATTCAAGTGGAGAATTCATTCTGGAGCGTTCTTGCACCAGTTTGGAGAGCACAGAAACGTCCTCAACGAAACTCATAGCATCCAGCTCTCGGATGCAGAGTGTTCGTAACTTTGGCCACATCACAGGTTCTCGATGGACGCCGAGTGCCTTGTATAGGATAGACTTGTGTTGCAATGTCAGGCGAACGACTGACGGAAAGGCGAGCATCAAGTGGTCGATAGCGATTTGATCGTCAGGAAAGGTGCAATAATGTAGCGCAAGATCCTTGACGTTGGGGAATTCAAATGAATCCAGGTCGTCAACCGTGTCATATAGGACTAGGCTTTCTAAGGAAGACAATGGTAACACACTTAGCAGAGCTTTGGTTGAAGTTGTGAATGAATGGTAACTTTCATCAGTGCGTATACGCAATGATCGAAGCATAGGAAGTTCAACTGCTCGCAAATCTGTGGACATCGAGGACTCAACTTCGAGCCATTGCAGAGAGAGGTTGACAAGACGGGGATTTGCTGCCAAAATCTCGCGATATTCGAGGAGAGTCAATGTTGACATATACTCACCATCGAGGTGAAGAGTGGTTATACCACCCGATATCGGAGGGAGAAGCCCACTAGCATAGCCAGTGAGTTGGAGATGATTCAACGAAGGAGCCCCTGCTTTGAGAATTGAAGGTGCGCCGTACATCATACGGTCGTGAGCACCTTCGACCCATTCGATGTGTAGAGCAAGATAACCCAGATGAGGAGCCCATAATGAATCCAGACACTCGTGTATAAGTGGCACGCAAGCTCGGGTGTGCTTCTGTACACAAATCGAAAGATGAGCACAACGTGATATGTGACTTGCAATGAGTTTCAGAAAAGGTGCAAAGTCTAGATGATCTCCAACGTCGAGTCGAACGGCGAAGAGGGAAGATGGGCCACTGCGAGTCAGATATGTTTCCATCTTGTTCAGACCAGGCTGAACATCGTAAGGCTGCTCTAGGGTTATATTGATATCGGTCCACAGCATTCGCGTGCCAACGGCAGAAGTCCTCCAGGGAGAGCATACTCGAGCGGCAATGAGGGGAAAGGTAGGCTCATCTTTTTGGCATAACGAGAAGATGTGCGAAAGTAGTTCTGGAGGCAGCTTGTAAACGAACGCGGCCTCGTTCCATATCTTGGCTCTCTTCCTTTCCGCAGCAGCGATATCCGAGTCGATTTTCTCGAGCTGGTGAAGAAGATATGTTTTTTGGTTGCGAAGGGAGTCCAAGAGCGTATCGAGAGCAGGTACGGATTCCGGTAGCTTGTGCATGACTTTTTTCTGTCATGGAGAAATCAGTGAGGAGTACTAGTAAGTCAGTCAAAAAGACGCACATCAAGTTTAGCAAGCACAATGTCATGCACAATGAGCTCTCGTGTGCTGTTGAAGCGATTTCGAAGAGTCAAGCTTCAACTTCAAGAGTTAGTCAAGCTTCAAGGGATCTGCAATTACATAATCCAACCCACTAATAAGTAGTAGCGCGCTCGCTTCGAATTCGCATAGTAGATTTGCTGCACGTACGTTGGGAGAGGTCAAGCCTAGGAGTAGAATACTCCAGCGCCAACAAGTTGAAAGACAGGTGTATATTTTGGACATACATAACAAGAAAATGTGCGAGAGTTATTATGGAGCAGACTGAGACAGAGTACATTTGGATTGCCATTGTATGGCTACTACATAGTAATGAACAACGGCGAAGAAGAGAGAGAGGTATATCACTCTGTTCACAAAGACGTGGCGATAATTTTAATAAAATTTAACGTACTGATTTGATCTGACAAAACCCGTGATTGAGCCCGGAGACCCATCTCATGAGTGAGAAACATGCTGAGAGGTATACCGGTAAGATTTCATATCATCTTACGGACAAAACTTCTGCACTGAGTTCTGAGGTACCCAAAAGGCCTGTGTCGATCATTGAAAGGAAATTGAGCTAGGCTGTGCATGGATGCCAGCAAGTGCATGCCAGTGGTTTATTCTGCGACGGAAGAAATAAGGGAGGGAGTCCTGAGTTCTGCATTGAGTATGCACAATACGTGGACAAGCAACCACTGCCAGGTATTCGAGTCGGACATAGTAACCTCGTTATGTATGCATACTATGCATTATCGCACAAGCCAAAACTCGACGGAGGGCGGACAGAGGTCGATAACCCAAGATATCAGGAACGAGTCAGCGGCGTTGGCAACTTTTGGAATGAGAATGCGGATGAGAGATGGGTAGGCTTGGAGGGACTCTGGTAGGAAGACATGCAACTTGTACATGTGCTTGACGACGTGGCTCGTTTCGCCGGGTTGAGTTAGGATGATTTCAGTCTTCCCAGAAGTTATCATATTGCGCTGGATCCATATCTGACCCAGGAGGCCATGGATCTTGATAGACATCGGAAGTGCAGCCAATTTTGGTGAGAGTTTCGAGCGCAGGTATACTATCGACTACCCAACGGCGACTTGAATCGTCAAGATATACAAATTCAAGTGGAGAATTCATTCTGGAGCGTTCTTGGACGAGTTTGGAGAGTATAGAAACGTCGTCAATGAAACTCATAGCCTCCAGCTCTCGGAGGCAGAGTGTTCGTAACTTTGGCCACATCGCAGGTTCTCGATGGACGCTGAGTGCCTTGTACAGGACAGACTCGTGTTGCAATGTCAAGCGAACGACTGACGGAAAGGCGAGCATGAAGTGGTTGATAACGATTTGAGTGTCATTGAATTCGCAATAATGAAGCGCAAGATCCTTGACGTTCGGGAATTCGAAGGGTATCAGATCGTCATCCGCGTCATACAAGACTAGGTTTTCTAGGCGAGACAATGGCAACACATTTAGCAAGGCTTTGGTTAATGATGAACGGTAACCTTGTGCAGTGCGTATACGCAACGATCGAAGCATAGGAAGTTCGACCAGTCGCGAATCTGTGGACATCGAGTCCTCAACTGTGAGCCATTGCAGAGAGAGGTTGACAAGACGGGGATTTGCTGCCAAAATCTCGCGATATTCGATGAGAGTCAAACTCATATACGTACCATCGAGGTGCAGAGTAGTTATCCCACCAGATACTGGAGGTCGAAGCTCACTAGCAAAGCCAGTGAGTTGGAGATGATTTAACGAAGGAGCCCCTGCTGTGAAGATTGAAGGTGCGCCACACATCAAGCGGGAGTCGTGACCACCTTCGATCCATCCGATGTGTAGAGCAAGGTAACGTAGATGAGGAGCCCGTAAAGATTCTAGATGCTCACGCAAGAGTAGCACACAAGCGAATTTGTGCTCCTGTACACGGATTGAAAGATGAGCACAACGAGATATGTGACTTGCGATGAGTTTCAGAAAAGGTGCGAAGTCGAGACGCTCTTGCACGTCGAGTCGAACGGCGAAGAGGGAAGATGGGCCGCTGCGAGTCAGGTATGTTTCCATCTTGTCCAGACCAGGCTGAAGATCGTAAAGGTTCTCTAGGGTTATTCTTATATCGGTCCACAGCATTCGCGTGCCAACGGCTAAAGCCCTCCAGGGAGAGCATACTCGAGCGGCGATGAGGTGAAAGGTAGGCTTGTCTTTTTGGCATAAGAAGAAGATCTGCGAAAGTAGTTCTAGAGGCAGCTTGTAAACGAACACGGCGGCGTTGCATATTTTGGCTCTTTTGCTTTCCGCGGCACCGATATCTGAGTCGATTTGCGCGAGCTGGTGGAGGAGATCCGCCTTTTGGTTGCGAAGGGAGTTCAAGAGAGAATCGAGTGCAGGTACGGATTCCGGTAAGTGCATGATTGTATCTGCATGAAGCAATCGGTGAGTTAGTCCAAGGCAAATTCAAGAGAGCGTACATTGATACGCTCAATGTCGTGGAGAATGAGATCGTGGTCAAGATTCAAGAAGACAATGGTTGAAGTTGAGAGTGGCAGAGTCTCGAGTGAGAGTATATAGACTTATGTAATCTGCCTTTCGTCAAGGGCACTTGGCTCAGTTGGTAGCGCGCTCGCTTCGCATGTGCTTAGTAGCAATATGGTTGCGAGAGGTCAGGAGTTCGATTCTCCTAGTGTCCATTTTTTTATTTTCAAAAATTCACTGGTGCCTGGAATGGTCCTCTCCGATCGATCGGTTAATTTTTCCAAACAAATACGAGCCTTTTTTAATTAAATGGTCGACGTCCGTCTTGAACCTGAGCTACCACCATCTCTGACATCCAACTTCCTCCCAGCACGCTCTCTGCGCAGAGATGTCTTCTTCCCTCGTAGCCAAAGACGCAAAGGACCTAGAGTACGCTGCTCCAGCTCTCGACTCCCAATCCATCATCGACGCTCCATCGACGTCCAAACGACCTCCCATCGAGTTTTCTTCTCCGAGCGCATTCGTTGGCAGTGTCGGTGCAAGGATAAGAAGTATCTTTACCAGGAGATTCCTTTTCTCTTTGCTTGCAGGACAGATCGTTTCTCTATGCATCACTTGTACGAATGTGTCTACGACAGAGCTTATGCTTAGGAACTGGTCTCTTCCTACGACCCAAAACGTTTTCTTGTGCGTCAATCTCCATCACCGCTCTACAATCAAGAAACTGACTAGTGCATCTATCTTGTTTTAGCTACTTCGCTCTCTTCGCCACATACACACCCTACACGATGTACAGATGTAGGTCGCCGCTCCACTAGCGCCTCCCTTTCCTTATCTTTTGACATATCGACCCATTCCAGACGGTTTCAAAGGATGGCTCGAGATGGTCATGCGTGACGGCTGGAAATGTATGTCTATTCTAGCCCATCTATCTCTTTTTGTCCATTCAGGCTAAACTAGTCCCCCATCCCACTTCTTGACTTCTGTTACCAGATGTCATATTGGCCGCATGCGATGTTGAGGGGAACTTCATGGTGGTGAAAGCATACGAATATACGGATCTGTTGTCTTGCATGCTGCTTGATGCGTATGTTATGGTTCTTTCTTCCCGAATGCATATTGAGTATTGATTTCCTCTGTTCAATTCCGATTGCATAACAGATGGGCCATCCCAGTGTGTTTGTTCTTCTCATGGATTTATTTCAGGACGAAATACCACTGGACGCAGCTTCTGGTAGGGTTCATGTTTCTTTCAACATTTCACTCAAAGTTCATACTAAACTTGTATCGTAACTCGTTCATTTCTCGTATAGGGCGTCTTCATCTGTGTATTAGGTCTCGGACTTCTAGTTTGCTCCGACGAACTAACGAAGAAAGACTACGAAGCACTCTCTCGAGGAAAAGGTGATGCTCTCATGGTTGCCGGAGCCACTCTTTACGGGTTCAGTGAGTCTTTTACTCATTCTCATCACTATCCCTATCGTCTATCGCAAAAAAACACTCTTCACCTACTGACTTACCCATGCCTTTTCTTGCGTACCAGCGAACGCCACAGAGGAACTGTTCGTTCGGAAAAGACCTTTATACGAGGTATGCGTCAATTCCCACATCTAGATCGAAACTCTCTTCCTCAAGCTCATGTCTCATATCCGGCCACAAAAAGGTCGTTGGTCAACTAGGAATGTTCGGATTCATCATCTGTGTCTCTCAAGCCGCCGGACTTGAACATAATGATATGCACACAGCTACATGGAGCGGTGCCAATGGTAGGTGTATCACTCGTATCTTAATGCACTCAGAATCTATAATTCACTCACTTCATCTTCGCAGTCGGCCTCATCCTCGCATACACTTCAGCCATGTTCATCCTCTACACCGTCGCTCCAATTCTCTATCGTATGGCCTCTTCGGGGTACTACAACCTTAGCCTGCTTTCGTCGGATTTCTACGGGTTGATATTCGGCTTGGGTCTTTACGTGCGTGCCACCTTCTCAACCTCACCAGTCATTGTCAAATTGCGCGGTTTTGGCTTACTTATCTTATGACTTATTCGTCTGCAGCACTATCAACCATATTGGCTATACTTCGTCGCCTATGTGATCGTCATCATCGGGTTGATCACGTATTTCTGGTATTCTGCTCGTACGTTGCTTCTCACTTTTCCTCTATCTGAATCAATGTTTATGATTCTGTTCTGTGTTCTGTAGCCGAAGACCAAGCAGAACTTGCCCCGGAAGCGCCGGTGTACGTTCAAGAACGACGGGAGGAGCTACGTGGGCCTCAGAAGGTTGTGGGGAATGTGTAATTTGTTGGATGTGTACTCAGTGTTTGTACTATTCATTTTGGTTAATGGTCAGGAATACAATTGCTTGATTCAAATCCAAAAAACTCATAATAAGCTACAGCATCGGAATCGTGAAGTAGGACGTTAAACACCATTCACTACCGAGTACAAATCCAGAGAAAGAATGTGTAACATTCTTTTCGTCAAGGGTGTTTGTGGTCGTGTCAGAATCATTCAACTACCGTGTCCATTCAATATGTCTTCGGATTTGACGCGTTTAACTTATACTCAAAACACACGTTGACCGTTGAACTGATGATCATCTAGAGCCTAGCCGCGCGCACGCTCATCTCCAGTCTCACCATCGGGAGGCTCAGCTTCTGGGCTACTCTCAACTTCAACGTAATACCAGTATTTCGATTTCTTCTTTCCGGGCAATTGCTCCATGATTTCTGCTGTATCTTCACGTTCATGCTTCCGTTTTGCCCCTCGAACCCCTTGCGACAGTGCGTCTTGCTTGGAACTACCAGCTTCCTTTCTTGTGACAGACCGTGTTTTTCGGGGAGGTATTGCAGGAGTTGAAGATGAATTCAAGGAGGTGGAGGTGGAGGAGAAGGTGGAGGAGGTGGAGGAGAAGGTGGAGGAGGTGGAGGAGAAGGTGGAGGAGGTGGAGGAGAAGGTGGAGGAGGTGGAGGAGGTGGTGCCAGTGGTGATGGTGGTGGTGGTGCCAATGATGGACGGGGAGGTGGGAGTTAGGCCTGCGGGAGGAGCAGGTGCAGCAGACAGTGATTGACTCGTATCAGGAGCAGGCTGAGATGCAGGGGTCGTAGGTAGCGCAACAGCAGGAGGAGAAATTGTCGATTCGCCCGTCTCTGCTACTTTTTCTCCCACTTCCAGTCGATCTCCTTGCTTCCGTTTTTCATCCGGACCCCCTCCTTGTGCCGTAGATCCCATACTAGAAGTATCAGTCTTTTGAGAGAATCCTGCAGGAGCAGGGAGCAGAAGTGACAAGGTGGCAGGTGGGGGGACTATAAGACGAGGAGGTGCAGGATTCACCTGTCTATAGTAGTCAGCAGAAAATCAGTTTCAATCGCGCGAAATCCAAGAGTAGATGATCACGAACCTGTGTACAACATCTTGAGCTCCTTTCAGCTCCAGTGGCGCATCTTGAGTACTAGTTGGGTTCAGAGCGGGAAGGTTTCGTACCAATCCTTCAGCAAGAGGACCATCTGTTTTTGTTGTACTTTCGTCATTCACAAGAGAGGAACTCGGGTCAGTCTGGCTTGAACTAGATGGACCTGCTGTTGGAAGGTCGTTTGGATATAACTTGCTTTTGCTAAGGTCTACCGCCCTCTGAGGCGAAGTGATTGTTTTATCCTCCCCTACGATCTCGAGGCCTCCTGGACCCAATGGCGGTATTGCGTTCATGGCTTTTTGGGATTCAAGAACGTCGCGCTTCTTCGTCCTAGAATGAGGCATCTGGGGTGAGGTCGAGGTTTAGAGGTCGAGGTGGCAAGAGGATCAATGATTGGTGTAAGTGGCCCCATATGTCAAGCTATTTTAACGCATTGGTGTTGTTGTTGCTAGGAGATTTGACCGCCTACATCACACGGTCTAGTATAAAGACAACAAGGATGCCAGAGCCGAGCACAAAGCCGAGCACTACTAGCTGAAGCTTGAGAAATACAAGGTCACATTCGTATTGAAGGAAATATGATACCGTAGAAATATATCGAATAAGATACCGCCGGGAGAGACAGCCAACAAAGCATCGGTGGGGCCTTGAAAGTTGAACAAGAGCCTATACAAAACGGATTTAACGTTCATGGACCTGCCGCGCGCATCCAGTCATCGCATAAAGACCAACCTATAGCCTTGGAGACGATATGGAGGGTAAGATTTAGATACCAGGGGTCACAATGAAATCTAAGATCTTTGCTGTCGAACATTAGGATGCAGTTGGGATACCAAACCGAGGACGCCAGAGAAAATTGTCGACCATCTGAAATAAAAGAAAGACAAGAAACATACTGAAGATGAGTTAGTGTGTGTGAATCACGGTTACAGTGGGCAACATACCATCGTGCGCGCAGATTTCGGAGGTCACTTGCTGGAAATTCATCACAAAACATAGAGTCAACTCAGACACCTGCAGCTGCTGACACGAACAGAAGGGATGCATTGAAACACCCCGATACAGTCTGGTGGCAAGCCCAGTGCACATTGCCTCAGAATTTGACCATAGTTGAGTTGATGATCGATCAATGGATGATTTCCGAAAGTTAAGACGTGCTATTTACATGGTTAGCCATTCGCCGGTTTCATCAAGAATTCGCACTTTGCATACTCCGCTGTGCGAGAGATGAAAGGAGGTGAGGGAGAGGGAGGGGAGGGGGGTATCGTAAGTACTGCGAGATAATATCGTCCTTGGCATATCGATAAAAATGATAGAAAAAAAAGAAAGACGGAGGGAGGAAAAAAAGGAGGAAAGATAGGTAGGGATGAGGGAATAATAAAATACATTCTGAGATAGAAGCAGCATTGTAAAAAAGACAAAGAAGGTTGGTACCGCCATTGGGAAATGGCACGGCAAATATTAAGTGTAGGGGGAGGAGTACAAGCCTGAGGCACGGATGTCGATGAGGAGTTAACCAAGCCAACCACTGAGCGCGACGTGCCGAAACCCCTCCCAGAGAATACGGATGCATATGCCTGATTACCCTGTCCGCTGGCGGGCTGGCTGATACCCGTTCGGAGTTGGTGTGTAATTATTTGGGTGGGGATTAACAAGGAACTCGCCGCTCGCCCGAGGCTGCACATACGAGGAAGGTCGTGAGGGGGTTAATGGACCATTAGGAGTGACGGGCGCTCGCTGTAAAGTCCATTCTTCGGGTTGAGGCGTTCGTGGGGTATTCATGTTTCCAATATGGC